GTTTTTAAAAAGAGAAAAGAGCCAGCAGGTGGCATGGAGGTGTAAGAGGCTGGGTCTCACATGGCCAACTCTGCACTTGGAGTCCTGCATTTGGCAGCCTGAGAAACATCGGGCACGCGTGCATGCATACACAAAAATCCTGAGAGGAAAATGGAGAGCAAATTGCATCATGGCAATCCCCCCACGGTGGTTCCTCACTTTCCCTTTGTCTCTTCAGGGAGCACACATACCCTATAGTAAGAACTACCAAAAAAAAAATAGAGCAAGAGAAGAGCCAAGCCCTAATTTTTGTGCGTACACGCCCAAAGTCCTGATGGGATGGAAAAATGGAGGAAAGAAGATTGTGGCATGACCTCACCCCTTGGAGGTTTCTTTTTTCTTTTTTTTGTGGAGGAAGGGGGAGAGGGTTTTGCTATAGGGCGCATGCACTCACCAGAAAGACAGGGAGACAGAGAGACAGAAAGTGAGAAGTTACCCCCGGGGGGATGGCCACACCACAATCCCTTCTCCTCCATTCTCCTCTCGGGATCTTGGGCACGCATGCACACGTGCCTGGGGTGAGTTTAAGCCACCAGGTCCGGGACTTGAACCGTGGTTCACTACATGGGAGTCCAGCAACATAGACATTATGCCAACTGCTGGTCCTGGGAGTTTCTTTTGCTTGCTCGCTTTCCTCATGCGCACTTGCACACCCTCTGGCAATAATAAACAACCAATGGCAATAAAAAAACAAAAAAGGAAAGTTTATACAGCTTTGTTTTGAGATTTAGAGGAACACACATAGAATTTTCTGTGGCTGGGCAAAGCAGAAGTTCAACCAGGTAGGAAATATCCCAAGAGTCGGACACTACCTGACCCCAGGTGTGCTGTGCCATTTTTTTTTTCTTTTTTAATGGCCCGCAAGTGGTTCTTGTGTTTTTAAATAGTTGAAAAAAAAATCTAAAAAATAATTTGTGACATGTTATGACGACATGAAATAAAAATTCTAGTGCCATGAAGCTGCTTCAGGGCCATGGCCATTTGTTTACTTATTGCCTCTGGCCTCTTCGAGCTGCAGCAGCAGAGCAGAGAGGGCCCTCGAAGCCCCAACTACTTCCTGTCTGATTCTGCAGAGAACGAGGTTGCCCAACCCTCTCCTAGAAGCAGAAAGGAGCCTCACTGCATGACGGTGATGAAAGAGCAGGCAACCAGTGGTCACTAGTGGGGGAGGGTGACCTACATTAACCGCCCCGCCCATCTCCCATCAAGGGGAGGGCCTCTGCCACCTGTAACCTGGGATCCCAGGGATCCAGGGCCTCCTCTTCCTGATTAACCCCATCCTTGCTCCCCTAGCTTCTTTCCCTCTCCCCTCAAAGTTCACGAGGCATACTTAAGATTCAGGCAAGGCTCGAAAGAACACAACAGGCCAGCGTCCCACCCCAGCTGGATCGTCCTCCTCTGCCCGGCAAAGGCTCCTTCTCTGGCCACTCCAGGACAGCTCGGGCTCAGCGCTGGCCCTCGTCTGGACTCCGGCCACCTCTGCACCTGCCCTTCAGCTGTGGCTGGGGCGCCCCGCCCCCGCCCCGGCCGCCATGTCTCAGGCACACCTTGTTTTAGACCAGTCTCATACATTCCTCCGGCAGTCCTCACTGCCGCCCTGAAACACCCCGCCCCAGTCTCTCCCAGGCTCCTAGGTCAAAGAGCTCAAATCAGATTGAGGCTTTCGGCTGGCTACTTTGAGGTTAACCCAAACTTTATCTATCTTGTTGACAGGCTTAGGCTAGGTACTTTCCTGAGGCCTTCTACTTCCTGTAGAAGGTGCCTTGGGCCCTCTAAAGCTGACACCTCTTCACCACCTGCCTGCTACAAATAAGCCCCCTCTGCTCTGACTTCCCCACCCAGCAGATGTGAGAGGTGCCAGGAGGAGACACTTCCCTCCAGATAATCTCAATTGTAACCTGATTCTCCCAGTTCAAGGGCAAGAGAAGTCTCCTTGATCCCCCTTTTTTTTGAGAGGTTTTTGCTATAGGGCGTGTGCCCTAGCCAGAAAGACAGAGAGACAGAAAGCAAGAAATCACCCCCCAGGGGGGATGGGCACACCACAATCCCTTCTCCTCCATTCTCCTCTCGGGATCTTGGGCACACACGCACATGCGCCCGGTGTGAGTTTAAACTACCAGGTCCGGGACTCGAAACACCGTCAGCTACATTGGAGTCCAGTGACAGCCATTACGCCAACTGCTGACCCCATCCTTGATCCCTTTTGCTCTGGTGGGAGAGGAGGAAGTTGAAGTGAAGTCTCCATTTGTAAAACTGGGGATAAGGGGAGAGTGAGAAATGACAGGGGCCTGGTGGGCGAGAATCTGGAGGGGAGCTCCTTGCATTGCGTGTTCTGTCCCACTGCCCAGAACGACTCCTACATCATCAACCAGAGCTCTCACAGGTGTCCTGAGAGGGTGGCCTAAGGTGGAGACACGCACTGGCTAGTGGCCCAGTCCCTGTGCTCTGCTTCACTGCTAGGTACCAGAGGGGGTCAGTCTGCACGAGTGGAAGTGACGGGCCTGCCCAAACGCCACCAGACCCACCCCTGCAGCTGTGAGCACCTGCTTACAGACTTAGGGGGTTGGGGAAGTCTAGGTACTAAATTTAGTCCAAAGGCTGCAAGTTAAATAGGGGGGAAGGGTATTTACCCTGGGGAAACTAGGGGGCAGGGGAGAGGAATCCTGACCCAGCTGAAGTGAGACCTCACAGTTCCCCTCCTAGTCCGTGGACACAGGAACCGCCCCCGCTCCCCAGCACTCAGAAGGGAGGAGTCCTTAGCAATCTGCTGGCCTTTTGCACGCTTGATCTCTCGCGCGCGTATCAGGTTTGTTCCTACCCGCACCCCACCCCGTCTCAGTTCTCAGGGATCCAGTTCCCCTGAGTCCTTCCTTAAATTTTCCCCAAAGCACTACACCGAGGGGCCACTCCACCACATCCCCCCTGCCCTTAGGTTGCAGCTTCCTCTCTCTCCAGTCTCTCCAGAGGATTTCAGAGGTCAGCACAGAGGTGTCGGGCAAAGCTGCTCCTCTACAGGGGGTCAGGAAAAGGGGTTTCTTGGGGTCAGGTTCCCCTTCCTGAGAACATCCGCATGACCCCATACTGACCTCATTGACCAGAGGAAGGAATCCCGAGGGGCTACACTGAAACCTAGCTTTAAAATGAGAGCAGAAAGGAGGGCAGACAGACGCCAGCCCACCTGCGGAGAAGGCAGGGGCTGCAGGCCTAGGAGCGCAGGGGCTAGCAGGGAAGGGCGGCGCCGCAGCTGGGGGAACCCGAGAGGGGCCGCGGCTGCGGCCTCTGCTCCACCTCTGATTGGCTCTCAGGAGCAGGCCAAACTCCAAACCTGCCCAGCAACAGCCTGAGCGGGCGGGGGACTTCGGGGAAGTCAGCTGAGCTGGGGCCGCCGCCCAGGCCTCAGCTTCCAGGAATCGCGGGTAGAGCACAGCTCTTGACGCCACCCGCCCTCGGGCCCACGGGGCTGGCTCAGGCTGCACCTCCCACGTCGCCCACTTCGGAGTCCCCGCACAGGTTCACCGGAGAGGAACAAGCTGTCGCCTCCTCTTTGTGCAGACGCATTGAGACCTGGCTTTGCTTGGACCCTCACTCCCTGCCCTGGGCCAAAGTCAGTTTCAGTTGTCTTTCCCTCCATTCCCTTTTGCTTCCTTCCTCACCCGCTCCGCTCCCAAGATGTTGACCGAGGGGGCCAGGAGGTGGCGTAGTGGTTGAGGTGCTGAAACTCCTGTGAGATCCACTGACCACAGTTCGAGTCCGAGACCTGGTGGCCTGAGACGTCAGGCACATGTGCGTGCGTGTGTGTACAAAATCCCAAGAGGATACTGGAAGAGAATGGACTGCAGTGTGGCCGTCCCCCTGGGGGTGATTTTTCGCTTTCTGTCTCTTGGCCCCCCTTGGGTGAGCCATGCACACTATGTCAAAAATCTCTAAAAACAAAGGTGGTGATAAAATTGTTCCTCCTTGGCCACTTCCAACCCAGGAGGGAAGCTTGCTCAATGGAGAAATCCTGTCGCCCGCTCCCCGGCCCGCCCTGGGCCCTCCTTAGGGTCCCAGTGTGCTTAGACACTAGCAGCCACCGAGTTGGGTGGTTTCTGCAGGCCCTTGATTAGATTTGACTCAGCTAGACGGGTGGGAAGCTGGGCAGGGGCTGCCTCTACTGCCCTGCTCCCTCTCCCCAGTTCAGTTTCCGGAAGTAGAGACTCAGACCTCAGAACAGCAGAGGTCAGAGAGACCATGCAGGCCATGGAAAGGCTGTCCCCCCCCACCCATGTTATTTACATAGAGAGAACTCGGCGGGGGAGGCGGAGGGAGGAGACCAGGGTGAGACATCCTTGAAGAATGTCCTTGGCAGGACATCCTGTACTGCCTGGGCTCCTCCCTCAGTCCTGCCCCAGTCCCCTAGAGTCTGGCCAGGCTCCTCCTCCTCTAGCCGTTTTGGCTGAGGATGGGATGGGGGAGCAGAAGTCACTTCCCTTTCCCCCACTCCTGTACAGCAGCGAACCAAGCACTTCATGGGGGGAAACGGGTTAATAGCAGAAGGGCCGGGGAGGTAAGGGGACAGGGTTAAGGAAAGGGACCAGGAAAAGAGACTTCTGAAAAGTCAGCTGCCACCCAGCTCAGCCCCAAATTGGAAGGAGCCAGGTTAGATCCCAAAAGACTACAGAAACTCAGCCTACAGGGAAGCCCACCCCAGGCCCGGCATTGGCACTTTCTCCAGGAGCTCTGGATCCAAGCGCCCAAGTCCACAGTCAAACTGGGGGATGTGGTGACCTCTAGTGGTGAATGTTGGACCTGCAGACTGAGCTTGGCCAGTGCATCTCAGGTGGCTTGGGCTCGGGCCAGGAGCCGTCGGTGCCCAGGGCTCAGCTCCGAGTGCTGTTCCCCTCCCACCCACATTCTGATCTCACACTGCTTAGGTGGCCTGTATGGTTGGGTTCCCATAAGGACAATGCAGAGCCTGTTTCTCATTTGTCATCATCATCTTTAATAAAAAATAAATTAGTTCTGGGGTGGGGACCATTTTAGAAAGTGGGGAGTGGGGGCAGGAGCGAGGGCGTCTTATGCTGACATTTCTCTTTTCCACCCTCTGCCCAGCTGGTCCCTGCTCGGGAGAGGCAGTCTCTTCCTGGGGGAGGGCAGCACTGGCCCTGGCCGACCCCATCCCCAGCTAACTAGGGAGGAGGGCGGAGAGACTAGGAGGAGGTGTCAGGGGCAGAGGGTGGTTTAGAAGATGGGAGCCCTGAACCTGAGAAATGATGTCTGGGCACGAAGTTGTAACTGAGGGGAGACCACACTCGAAGGAGCTCAGATTAGCAAGGAACTGCAAACTTGCTTCCTCCTCAGCCTGGAGACATCTCAGGGGAACAGGCATCGTCCCCTCAGACGTTTCCTCCTCGGTGACTTTTTGAGAAGTGACACACATAAGCGCACACAGATCCATGCAGATCTAGCTACACGCCTGGAGCACGTGTGCACACACCACACCACACAGACTCACGCGTCTAGTCAGTCACCTTGCCACCTTCGGTCAGACTGGTGAGACTGGGACAGGCTGGAGAGCCAGCTGCTCAATGAGTGAACGACGGTGGCACAGAAAGCTGTGAGGAGACCTATTTCAGGCAGGCTCCGGGGGCGACCGCTCCAGGACATGGGCACAAGAGCGGCAGCAGGTGGCCGTGTAGTAGGGGTAGACGCAGAGCCGGGCCTGTACCACCAGGGGGCAGTGTGGAGAGCTGTCCTTGCACTGGTCATCTGGGGACAGAGGCGGCGGGGGGCACAAGGCCGTCACCAAGCCCCGTCCGTTTGGAAG